CAGCAACAACAAAATCAGACACTTCATTTTATCAGGGTACATAATTCCGCTTTTAGATTGTATTCGCCCTTTCAATACTTTTGGGCTCAAAGAAATAATAGGAAGGTAAAAAAAACAACAACAACAGAAAAAATTGTTTACCTCACTAAAAAAAAAATCTGTAAGAAGCACAGGCTAAGAGGATTAACTTCAAAAGATGCCTGTCTGTAAATTTCTACACATTAAAAGAAGATTCTTAACACCAACCTCTTTAGCCTCGACATCACCGCTAGCAGAAGCTTTTTCAAGCCACCGTTTCGCCTTCCTTAAGTCCCTAATCTGCTCACAACTTCCTTCCAGATATATCTGTCCAAGTTTCCGCTGGGCCTCAGAGTTTCCTAGTTCCGCGGCTCTGGTCAAATAGTGAACAGCTTTCGTTGGTTGCGGTTTCCCTTCTGGGCAATCACCTAGAAGATAGTACTTGTACAAAGATGTCAAAGCTATTTGTCGAAGATCATCATGAGAATTCTCAATCTTGTTCATAGTTCCAGCAATAAGGAGACCTAAAGATCCCACCTCTGTGGTATCTTCGACTGTACTTTCCCCTGCTGCCTTTTTGTACCATTCAAACGCTTCTTTGATATCTTCGTCTACAACCCCTTCAACTCCACATCGATACATTTCAGCCAAATTAAACTGCGCAGATGTACTTCCCAGACGCGCTGCCTTTTGATACAAATCGTACGCTTTTCGCTGGTTGTGTGGCTCTCCTGTGAAATCCAGCAATTGACCAAGTTCTTTCATTACCGAGGGAATAATGCAACCATTTTGGACAGCTGTGTCTAGCCAGCCAATAGCTTTCTTGGTGTCCTTCTCCACGAATCCTTCGATACCTGTAGCATAAGCGGCACCAAGGTCAATTTGGCAGCGTACTTCACCCTTCTTGGCTCGAGCGATTAAAACATCTACTGAACCATACGATTCTTTAAAATAATTTTTCAGATCAAAGTCTTCTGCGTTGAAATATTCCATGTTCGAATGCAGTCGAAATAATTCGTAAACCGAAAGCTTAGTAGGACTTCCGGGATGCGAGTGAAATTTATTAGTACGTCATACATCAAACATTATAGTATGCCAAAGGTTATTTGGTAGGTAGATCATGTAGGGGCCATTATTATGTCCTCAATACACGTTGTGTCCTATACTTCACATACATGTAATGTACTTGACATACAATACCCTGCACACACATACAGGGCTAAACAAGGCTAGATACAGCTATACACAGCTCCACAGGGCTATACAAGGCTAAACGCAGCTATGCAGAGCTGTGCACAGCTATACAGAGCTATACACAGCTCTACAGGGCTATACACAGCTATACAGGGCAATACACAGCTATACAGGACTATACAGGGCTATACACAGCTTTACAGTGTTATACACAGCTATACAGTGCTATATACAGCCATACAGGGCTATACACACCTATAAAGGGCTATACACAGTTATACTGAGCTGTACAGAGCTATACAGAGCTATAGGCACCTATACAGGGCTATATACAGCTATACTGTGAGGGCTATACACAGCTGTAGAGAGCTATACACAGCTAGACAGGGCAATCCACAGGGCAATCCACAGCTATACACGATTATGCAGACGGCTATACCTTTCATCGCCACAACAACACATGAAGCAACTTGAAATTTCTCATGCAGAGGACTTCATGGACACGCGGAGTAACATAAATTTTCCGGGACTCGTAGAGCGACTTAAAACCCGGAGTGTCGTAGATTATA